GTATTTCCTCTGCTGCATTCGTTTTAACAATGAGGAAACGTATTAGATCAACTAATTTTAAAGATTTCGATACTGTATATTATAATAATTTGTTATCGATACCTTTATTAATGATAATGAGTCTTATGGTCGAAGATTGGAGTGAACAAAATTTTGAAAAAAATTTGTAAGTGAAACCTATATTTTCCTTCCTAAATAGTCATTAATTTTGTTTACTTATTTTTATTTCCTCCTTTCAAGACCTAAAGATATACGCAACACACTCATTACAGCCATATTATTCTCAGGAATATCAGCATTTAGTATTTCATACACATCAGCTTGGTGTGTCAGAGTAACTTCGAGCACAACTTATAGTATGGTTGGTGCATTAAATAAACTACCCGTAGCTGCAAGTGGAATGATTTTTTTTGGAGATCCAATCACAATGGGAAATGTTTCTGCCATATTTGTTGGTAAATATCATATTTTTTTCTTTTCTTTTTATGTACATATTATTAACTGTTATTAATTTTTAATAATTCTTTATTTTAGGATTTGTTGCTGGAATTCTATATTCAATTGCAAAGACAGAACAACAAAAACCCATAAAACCATCTGTATATATTCCAATATCTAATAAAGAACTGCCACAAGTAATAACGAATAATAACGATTCAACTGAAATTCAATCAAATCATCTTAATAACGACGGTGATAACACAGTAATTAAGATTGAAGATAACAATCTATCAGAAAAAATGTAATATGTCAATGATTTTATTGACCCCATATTTATTTTGAAAAAATTATAGAATCATGTTTTATAGAAAGTTATAAGCCTTTTTTTGTGTAAGAATTATTAATTGATTAAATGTATTAATATTAATTTTTAAACACAATATCTTTATTTATATTCAATAATTCACTATAAATTATTTAGTACATACAGAATAGTTTATTTTCCTTATAATAAAACAAATATTTCTAATCGCTAATACACAAATAATAATATTAATTAAGAATAATAAAAAACAAAATAATAAAAATTAAAGTTCAATTTAATTAATTTGACAGAACAATAATTTCATCGCCTGATGAAATATCGTAATATGATAACTGCCTTAAATCATCATCCATCTCCAATTTGGACTGCTCATCCTGAAATAAAAAAAAAAGATTATTATAAATAATCGCATGACGAGAGATCAATCCATAAAACTATGCCAGAACAGTTCGAATCTTTTAAACAATTTAGAAATTTGTAACTGGCTAATAAAACATTCACAGAATTAATTTTATTATCAACTTTATAATAATATCTTACCTGAAAATTAATTACAGCATATAGCTTTTGTTGAGACGATGGGACTTTAAATAATTTTTGAAGTAAATTCTTTAAATTTCGGATTTCCATTGTTCCCAATAGTTTTTTTGATAACTTTTTTATTGGTTCTTCTTCTAATTTATTTCTATGACTTATGGTTATTTCTACATGAGAAACGAAAAGATAAAAACACTATATTGATAAAAAGACATAAAATACATAAAATACAAACCTAATAATCTATCCTTGAGAATACTACTTGAGGCTTTCTGACTAATTTCGTTAGCTACTGGCGTACCATGTATTTCACATAATTCTTTAAATCTTGGATGATTTTCCTCTATCTCTTCAAGTGGTTTCATATCTTTCACACACAATCCGAGATAAAATCTTTCTGCATTCACTCTGTCTCCTGAAGAAATCTATATTAAAAAATTAATATATTAATGTTAGACAACAATAGAACTAACTTATATACTTACAATACTACCATTCAACATTGTTAATCCTTTGATTCGACCAATTATTGACATATGGGCCTCTTCTATTTTTTTGTCTATTATTTTTTTTTTAAAAAAAAATCATTTAATAACATAATTACTAAAATATAAATATATAGATCCAATTACAGACTACTAGTATCATCTAGAAAGGGATTCTTCTTGATCCTCAATTCATGCAGAGAAGGAAATTTATTAAGTTCATCAACACTTTTCCAGTCGCCAATCTTATTCTCCCTAATGTTCAAAAACCGCAATTTTGGAAAAGCATTACTATTTTCGTTTGGATAATATATCCGATCAATTGCATTATTGTTAACAATAAGAATTTCCAGACTTATTATCGAAATGTAAATAATTTGACGATTAGCAAAATATAAATATGGACCAAAATCGTACTATTGAGACTTTACATTACCTTTGTGACTCTGAAAATCTTGCAATTTCATCAAAACTAGATATTAAATTGGACTCCAGATTGATAATTTTTAATTTTGTAAAACCCTTGATTTTATTAGCACTTTTGAGAGTTTCTTTATCGTTCTCATTAATATCCTCAGAAAGTTTAATATTATTGAATCCTAACTGCAAATTCTCTAAACTTGGGAAATTCGGTTCAAGTAATTCTATCTAATTTTAATATACGATTAAAAACTAATAAATATCGAGGTAACAAATAATTGGATAATGCAAACCTGTTTCCAAGAAATTCTGGTATAATTAAGTGAAAGACTTTTCAAATTTTTAAACGCATTCGGGAAACTGGGTGAAGTTTCCAAAACTTGAAACCGATTATAACTGTAAAGCAATAAATTTACTATAAAAAAACTTTCGAGTAACCCGTCTTATTTCCAACCTTACTTTAAACGTAAAACTTCCAATTTTTCGAGTTGCTCACATATGTTAGCAACTGTTTCCCAATCTGATAATAAATTCTTTGATAAATTCAAGTCAATGATATCTAAAATAATTTTTTTTTATTTATTAAGAAAACTGAAAAATGTAATAGAATTTCAATTTCTAATTACTCACTTGGACATGTTTCTTTAATTACACCCGGTTTCCCAGCTGATGATATTTGTTCAAAGGAGAGTCCAACTTCAGTTAATCTATCCAATTGTCTTTTAAATCGTAAATAAAAATTTTATTAATAAAAATTATTAAAGTGAACAATTATATTTGAAGGAATATTTACATACCCTTGTTTTCGCCAAATCTTATCCCATCCTAATGCTTCGACTTCTAAACCTGTACCTGCCCAATGAAGCACATCTATATCCTTTTGTTCATCAAATGTTTCTTCGTTTCTTTGAAGCTTTGACCCTTCATCAACGTATCTTTCAATAACAGCAGCAACAAAACTTCGACCAGTATTTATCTTTGAAGAGTAACGAATAAAGGAACCACTATTAGGCACACTGGAGAAACCAAGATTAATCATGATATATAAATTTAATTTAATCAAGAAATTATTTATATCAGACTGACCTACAAGTAAAATAACGAACACCCTCGTGGAAACCATCATGTTTCCCTCTCGATATATTATCCCACTCTAATCCAATCCATTCCCCCTTTGTTGGTGGAACTGGACCAACATATCGAACGGTTGCTATTTGATTCTCAACTTGTAAACGTTTATTTAAAAGATTTTCTAAGGCTATCGCATCTTTGTTGTCAGATACTGGGCCCATAGTGTGATAAAAAAACCGAACTATCTGTCAAATTACCAACTAGACATCAATTTAACTAATAAAATTATTTATCGAAAAATAATCTTTAAAAACAACGAAAATACTGATCGAACCGAACATCTATATACGTTAAATCACGTGATAGACGTGATAGATACTCTGCAGGCTGCGCCAATTCATAAATTCATAATGAAAAATCTTTGACTATCACATTTTCTTTGAATTTCTTAATTATGATAAGTCTTGCTCGATGTGCTTTAATTTTAACGTTACTGTTTGAGTTTTTAAACAGTGCTTTATCGACACCAGAATATGAAAATTTCGGAACAGTCTATCATAAACTTCCTCACCACACTGAATATTCAAAACGTGGAGTTGTTGTAACAACTTCTTCCAGTGCAAGATACTCAGAGTTTGAAGATGTCTTATCGAGCTTTGATATAACAAAAAATTTAGAGAATAACCAATTGTATCTTGTTAAAATAGTTGATAATGAGTATCCAAATCATGTCACTAAATCTTTCACTAAATCGGTTTGTTAATTAAAATTTAAATCTATTATAAGTGAATTAGAAGAATAATATTAATTAATTTATTTTCGTTTCACTCTCAATTTGTTTAGTGCTTGTTAAAATCTTCAAATTTTGAGGATAAGATAATAATTCATTTAGACAAAAATGACAAAATGTTTCATTTTGATTACTACACAAGTAGTGACCAATGCAATAAAACAATTGATCCGGTAATTAAATTATAATTTGGGGCCGTATATTTATTTATTAACTTATTTAATTAAATCTTTAACTTGTTTAGCAAACTGGAGTTTTTAAAACTACTGTTCAAACTGTCAAAGCAGTAAATGGCGTTGCGTGAGTTATTTGAATGTTATTGTTTATTATATTAATATAAATTTATTATGTTAAATTCTCACATGTTTCTTCTTTTAATAAAAAAAATCTTAAGTCCAAAGTTAAATAAAGCGGTACCTCTGAGAGAAGATGGTACTGTAGAAAAACCACCCGAAGAGAAAAGCTTTATACAAAAATACTGGCAAGTAGATATTCTTGTTTGAATTTAATTATAATTTACGAAATAATTAAAGTTTCAATTACATTAATAGGTGGTATTTCATACCTCTTATTATATTATTATTAACTGGAGGCCCGCCCGAAGAATCTCAGCAGGGTGGACAGCAACAACAACAGCAACAGCGAGGCGGACAAGCAGTGAGACCTGCTCGTTAATAATTTTTTAAATAATAATAAGAAATTTAATACAGCTGAAACTGAAAATTAAATCGAAAAAAAAAAATATCATATCTGTCTTTTCTGTCATAATGAATTATTACAGTGAGTGGATTAAAAAATTTTACCAATGACAATTAATTGCATCATGTATTATAGGAACTCATGTCGTGATATTTAAATTTCTAATTTTGAACTTGATGTCAGTAAATTAATCATTTATTAAAAACATTATTTGGTTTCACAGTCAGAGTTTGGGGGTCTAGCTCATATGGTAGAGCGCTCGCTTCGCACCGCTACGTGAATGCGAGAGGCACTGGGATCGATACCCAGGTCCTCCATTTTCGATAAATTTTTTTTTTTTTTTTAATTATGCGTTACACCTTATAAATCAGTTCTTCATTAAATTTCAACTAATAATATATTTCATTTTTTTTTTAAATAATACATAATGGTGCACGAATCTTTAAGATTGTGAGTATTGCTTTTAACAGTTTGCAGATCGTGTATTGTAGGTTTACATTACGCGAAAATAAAGCTTTAAGTCTTCCAACTAGACGAAAATAACTCATCACACTTTCATCACAGATACGCTACCAACGACTCGTATATCTTAGTACCCTACTACCTTGATCCGAATAAAGCAGCTCAAACTTTAGTTATAAAAAGAGATTCTGGTGATTGTTTATTGGACAGTGCTAGTAAGTATTACTCTGTTATATGAGTAATTTTTCCCTTTGAAAATGCTTACTTTGACCTTTGTTATTTGAGCAAAGTTCCCGACCCAACCGCGCATACCGAGTTTTTAACTGTATACGGAGTTTTCGGTATCATTAATTTATTAGCAGGTACAAGACAAATACATCTTAAAATTTGATCAATTGTTTCATCATTTTAGCATTATAGATCAATTAATTATCGATGATAAATTTTAAATAGGTGGGTATCTTATAGTGATTACCGGCCGAGAACGTATTGGAAGGCTAGGTATACACGACATTTTCCAGGCGAATCAATTTAGAATTCTCCCATTCGCAAAAAACAATAATCATTTATCAGAAACACAGGTATAGTTGATGATATAATCTATCACACGATTTAATCTTTAAAATCGATTAATTTTAAAATATCTTTAATTAGGCACATGATGAACAACATTATTTGTCACTTGTGGAAAGTCTTCTTAAATCTGGAACATATTATTTTTCCTACACTTATGATCTAACTCATACTTTGCAAAGGCAAGCACAATTGACATCTAGACTTTTATGGCAGAGAGTACGCAGATATTATTTTATTGAAGAACGCTTAAAATGGCTACGTAGCTTATAATGATTTATCTTTTTTTATATTGTATTAGGCCGATGACAGATTCTTTTGGAATCGTTATTTACAATCGAAACTTATTGATGTCACTACAAGAAATCCTGACCATGACGTTAGTATACATTTTTTTTGTGTATTTGTCGACATTAAATTATTACTAACTATTGTTTCAACGATTAATAGTTAAGTGATTTTATCCTTCCAGTGGTGTTTGGATGTATGATACAATTATTAGTAATTTTTCATTTAAATCATTCAGGGTAACTAATTTTTTTTTTTCTCGACGATAGTCGTTTCCATTGTTTTTACAAGAATTAAGAACAGGGACGTGGTATTCTCTCTGATTTCCCGCCGAAGCAGGTACCGTGCTGGCACGTACTAAATCTCTTTTTTTTTAAAAAAAAATGGTGGATTATGTTTATAATGTAGAGTAACACTAAATCTGTATGTTTTTTGATTTAGGAACGCGATATTTTTCACGTGGTATTGATGCAGAGGGAAATGTTTCTAATTTCAATGAGACTGAGCAAATTATTTTACTGGATCCCATTGAGGATGGTAATGCAACCACCTTTTTTGAAGGCAAAATTAAAATGTCTTATACTCAAACACGTGGATCTATTCCCATTTATTGGGCCCAAGTCAATAATATCAAATACACACCGAAATTACAAATAATGGATTTACCAAATACGGTAATATATTTATATATTTTTTCTTATTGCAAATTTTTATAATAAAATTAGTAAATGCTAACGTATCATTATTTTTAGCTTGAAGCTTTTCACCGACATTTCGATGAACAAATCAGAATATATGGAAATCAAATTTTAGTTAATCTTGTTAATAAAAAAGGATATGAATCTCCTATGGGAGAATCATATGAGAGGACTGTGAAACAGCTAAATGACCCTAGAATACGATATTACCATTTTGATTTTCATCATGAATGTAGCAAAATGCGGTGGAATAGAATTCAGATCTTGCTTGACTCTGTTGAAGAAGACTTAATTCAACAAGGGTATATCAAATTTTTTTTTTCAAGATATGTAAACTTTAATCTTTAAGATTAAAATTTTTTTGTTTCTCAACTCATCTCAGATATTTCTATGCTGATGATTCACGCTTTATCAAATATCAGACATCTGTAATTCGTACGAATTGCATGGATTGTCTTGACAGAACTAATGTTGTTCAGTCTAACTTTGCGAAATGGGTATTAACACAACAATTACGTGAAGTGGGTGTGCTTAGTAGCAAAGAACGAATTGATGAAATTGCAAGTTTCATGAATATATTTAGAAATGGTATTTAAGGTTATTAATTTATTAATCGCAGACATAGTATTATATTTATATTATTTGATTTTTCTCTTGATTGATAGTATGGGCTGATAACGCTGATGCTATTAGCTTTCCCTATTCTGGTACTGGTGCCCAAAAAACGGATTTTACTCGGTATGTTATAAATTCACATTTTATTTATTCTTCTTGTTACAATGAATACTAAACATATTTTATTTTAGAACTGGTAATAGGACTAAAAAAGGAGTTGCTTCAGATTTACAAAATTCCGTGATGCGTTATATTCTTAATAATTTTATGGATGGTTCGCGACAGGTAAATTTTTATAGATTTTGTCTTGGAAAAAAAAACATGAACTTAAGTTTACAATTATTTTAATACTTTTTAATCAATACAATCAAATAATGATTTTAGGATGCATATGATTTGTTATTGGGTAATCATGTAGTGAAATATGGGACCACGTCACCATGGATCGATACTCGGTCCATGCAAACAAAATTGGTAATTTACAAATTATATTGAATTGTGAAAGTGAATATTTTAATAGTTTTTAATAATACATTCTAAACCTTAATTTAGATTCCTCGAGTATTATTGGCATGTTTGGTATTTTTGTTACTTTTACTCATTCTTCCAGAAGGTATTATTATTCAATTCAAAAGCTTAACCTATATATATTACATTCCGTGTTAACATTGTTTAACTTTTCTTAGGTTATAAATATTATACTCTATTTTTGATGGTTATTGATTTGGCTATTATTGCATTCATACTTCGATTTGTTGTGGAAAATGGTGGCGAATTTGTAGATTGGCCTAAACTTGTTCCAAGAGATTACCGATTTTATCAATCTAAATCTAGCACATCATCTTATAAACAAAAAACGGGACGGATTAATGATTCAGAGTATGAAGAAAAAATCGAATTACAAAAAATTGAATAGAACTATTTATTCGTGTTCTAAAATTAATTATTTTTTATAATAATATTTTTTTTTATTATTATTATTATTTATAATATTTTAATAGAATCATTTTGATAGATTATTTTGTTTTTATGGGGGTGTATCAATAATAATTAATCTATTCATATAAATATTATGTTCAAATAATAATGAATCGCCCGTCATTTCAATTATTGCTTTTATTAGTTATGTCTTTTTTTAAATTTATTAAATTTACGTTTTTTAGAATATGGGAAGTACTTTCTCCTGCGTTCTTCAAACATTTGTTTATTATCGCTCATAAAACGATGAGCAGAGTCAATTGTGCGCGATATATCTTCAAGAAAAACATAATCTAAAATATATAATTGTTTAAATTCGGTTTTTTAAACTTAATACTAATCAATACATAACACTTACCGCTCATTAAATTTTCATATCCGTATTGTTCAATCGGAACATAATTCACTTTCGATCTTATACCTTCACATGAATACTTTTCCTTATGCAATTTACAACATTTCAATGAACATGAGTGAAAATTGCACTTTGGGCACTTGTATTTCCAAGCGATAACATTACAATTTTGACACTTGGTTGAATCAGGATGGTTTTCAAGTAAATTTTTAGATGTAGTTTCTCTTAAAGAATCTGATAGAGCAGCAGATGATATTTCTGAAAATATTTGATCCTTCGATGTGTTTGGTTCCTCAACTTGAAAATTAAAATAAGAAGGTAAGAAATCCGAAAACTCATTTTTTGACCTGTTAAATTACCTTTGCTTTTAACTTGTCCTTTTGATTCTACTTTTTCTTCATCAGAATCTTCATAACCTTGAAGAATCAATGCAAGTGGGTCAGTAAAGTTGTAGTAGTCCACCATGTTCCAAAACAAAAAATTAGCAAATTGCTTGATTATTTGATTATCTAGCCTCATGCATGGTAGATCATAAATAGGCCAAAATCTGTTTATTTTGTATGTAAAGCAGAGCTCCGGTCTGATTTTTTCTTTCTTTTTTAATTTTGCCGTGTTTAACTTTTATTTACCAAAATAATGGGGCTTGCTTTTAGTTTTCTTGGTGCTCCTATTTCATGGGTTTCTTCAGCAGTTGTTTCTTGCTTCTCCGCAGCAGCTTGCAATTTAGCCTGTAAATCATGTAATTGTAATAATTCAGTAGCAACTAGGATAGGATTTTCGGTGAGTAGTATGATTTAAAAATTAGAAATCAACATTTCTCCATTTAAACTAATTTATCTGTTCTTTGTCTTTTTTTTAGATAATATTACTTTTGAATTCTATGGTAAAAGTTTAAGCAAATTTAATTTTGTACGTTATTTTGTTAGTTATATTCCTAATAGACTTTATCAATAAAAATAGCTTGCATGGATAATGTTATCAGATTGGGCTATAAAGCAGCTAGAGAAGATAACGTATGATTATTTACACCTGAATTGTCAAGAGGGAACTTGTTACGGATTCTTAGCTGTAAGCTTAATATTTATTTCAAACTTTAACTAATTCACTTCTAAACCTTGTAATCTAAATTTATAGGTTCATCGTATTTGTTTTGCGTTGTCATTTTTTCATTTTATTCTGGGACTTCTTGTAATTGGAGTAAAGGATACTCATGATAATAGAGCTGCAATCCAGAATGGGTAATAAATATAGTAAATATGTTCATATTTTTGATATATAAAAAATTATTAATTATAAATTTTTAATCTCATATAGCTGGTGGGGAGTTAAAATAATTGGGTGGATTAT